TTGATCTGCTCCATCGCTCTTCAGCCCTAGACTCTGTACATGACGTGCTCGCCCTTTTTTCGTAATCATTACTGACCAGAGCTGAATAATTTTCGGGATACCTTTCGAAGATATATGCATCTTCGAGTTACATCTCAACCCTAGGGCGATATATCTCGAATAATATATGACACTCTACCCAAGAAAAAATTCGCCACCAGTGATATTTATCACTGATGTATAATATACTAGATATTTCAATATATTAACAATATACTGGCATTTGTTAATATATTGAAATACTAAAATCCTTCTTACAGATCTTTTGAGAATATGATTACCTCGTATCGCGTTTCGATTTCCATAATTTTTTGTTGAACAAAATGGTAGTGAAAAAATTGATGAAAATTTGTGCAATTCACGAGTGATCGGTATGATTCTGGGGATATGATGCCGAGGGCAAAGTAACACGCATCAATGCACCGAGATTGGTCCATGTCGAGTATACTTGGACCGATGATAGACCGAACGCATTGGCAATCAGTGAGAAGTATCAGTGATCCATGTAGAGAAACTACCCAACAAACGCTTCAAACCAATACGTATACGTATTGTTCCAGTATTCTCTGGTATTTGGCCCGGTACTATAACCATAACCCTTCCTCCTTTATCACCCTCTGACCCCCCCAAAACTATTCTCACTCAACGACCCGCGTGTGCACCCACGGTATATACGGTGATTTGGCTAACCACACGTTGTCGAGCCATCGACGGCATCCACCAGCATTGTTTGCTCGCTTTGATGAGGCCAATTCAATGTTTCCACGTACCACACTATTGGAGTCAGGTTGAAGGGGGAGGGCAAAGAGTTATACGCATGTATACGAGTGGTTTCTCTCTCAGGGCTGGGGGATCGTGTGTCATTAGTGACCCCGCAGGGTCGTCAGGCATCCCTCTGCCATTTTCGTTATATCATTTTGCCTTAATTTCACAAGAAAAAAGAACGAAAAAAAAAATACTCCATCGATTTTTTATCGTCGTCGATGTTATTTATTTATTGCGAATAAATATCGGAATGTGATAATTAATGGATATTGGTATTTATATCGATATGTTGATATATTATTTAATAATTGATCTGAAATTTCGAGTGGACTGCCGTGTCTTTAGAGACACGTTTTAAACTCAAAGTATATACCATCGATCGTTAAGTTCGCTATAACGTTACACCTTGCACAGGGCAAAGTAAAATCCTCCCAAGAAGACTGGTGCACTATTAAATGCAGACACGAGCAGGCACAGCCAGGAAATTGCCTAATTTCCTCAGTGCGCACGCCGATCCGTCAACTTGACGGAGAGAGACGGTGTTGGCCTGCACGAAAATTTTCACGACGTGACTTTTAATGTCAAGTGTCGAAAATAAGGCCGAATACCCTAATACCGGAGGGTGGTTCATTTTTTTTTTTACTCCCATTATTTTTTATTCCCCAATTATCACTTTATCGGGTAGACCCTCGAATAGTGGGAATACCGCGTTGTCGTCGGAGTGAGGGGATGAATCGGTGATAAATCATCCTGAGAGGTCTCGGGGTAGCCGTCGACGTGAGGACCTATCAGTCTTCATATTCACCTTGATACATCACTTTAAATAAATAAATCTCGGGGAGTAATGTTGCGGCGGTGGGGAGGGAGGGGAAAAAATGGATAAAATAGGACAATGTAATAGGACGGAGTATCTTTTATCGCGTCTGCCCCAACCAGATATACCCGGAAGCCACAACCCAGTGGTCGAGAGAGAGAGAGTGTTTCTGAGACGTCCCGGGTGCCGTCCGAGGGAAAAGATTAAGTGCTGGACGTGGGTCGGCAGTGATAGACTGACTAATCCGTGAACTTAGACTCTAGTACCGAGTTTAGGGTGACAGGAGATAAGGGAATAGAAAGAGGAAATGACAATGAAACACCCGTCTATCGTCTAATAATACCAAATTTTTATTGAAGTACTATTTAAAAAATATGATATACAAATCATTAAAAAATACACCAAACAGTAATTCACAATAATACTAATAATAATCTATTATTTATTCATGTCGAATATATTTACGATAAACGAGTGTTATTCCCAAAAATGAGATTATCAAGTATAATTCGCATATCGTATCGAAAATAATTGTTTTAAAAAATGATTTAAAAAATGGCGCGATATCGTTTTATCCGTAGATTTCATTTCACGATACACAGGAGATGCCCCGTGAGAAAATTAATGTCTAGTGGCTCCACTCGTGTTCCTTCCATCCACACATGTACAACCGAGATGAGAATTGAGCAAACGGATAGAGGATCGAGAGGGATAGGGGAAGGGGGGGTCGGGTGGGTGTAAGAGAGGGAGGGAGGGATAGAGAGATTGAAGCGTAGAGAGAAAAAAAAAAAGTTGTATAAAAATGCGGAGGGCAGGAGAGTAGATATCCCCATGCACGTCATCCACAAACGACATCGCCTTGGCTATGCCAGATGGTTCTCTTTGTGTCCCTCTTTTCCTCCGCATTCCTCCCCTCCAAAACTGGGCGTGTCGTCAATCTCATTCCCCCCACTACCACTCTCACCCAGTATTTCCCCTCAATCTCCTCAAATCGATTCCCCACCATTTCAGTGTAGGGGGATAAATCCCCTCTCCTGGTGGTACCACTGGTTGCCGGCAACATCTCGCGCGACAAAAGTATATAGTGGGGTATATCCTCTTTCGCTGGCAATACCGCCGAGAGGTAGACGATATTATTCCAAGGGGCTTGGTGAGTCAACCCAGTGGTTTTTGTCGCCTGGCTGTTGGCTCACCCTCTTACCCCCGCCAACTCCACGCCTTCCACGGGGTCTCATTGGCCGGTGCAACACCGCTGTCCCCAGGTCTACCACCAGCGACACACGCCCATTCTCAACCTTCCAACTTCTTCATACACGAGCCTTTTCGTTAATTAATTTTACATTTCGTTTGCTATTTTTAATACTGAAAATCACACCCCCATTATCATCACGCTACTACTTCATATATCACTATATCTGATATACGCAATATTTGCATCCATCATTCGAAGACTTTACATTCTTACCCACGATATTAATGTAATATGTTATAATACTCTGTTATATTATTATTATTTCATTTTTTATATATGAGGGATATTAATGACATATATTATATCAGCGGGTAAGACTGGATGATGTCATTTGTTTAGACGATCATGTTACGATGTAAAATCTCGGATCGACATATTTGTGTGAAAAAATATCGTGAACTCAATCTTTCATCTCGTTTTTCTATCCCGATTGAGACAAGCTGCATGATTACGAATAAACTCGTAATTACGCAATGCACAAACAGCCTCGTACTAACTAGCTGTCTGTTGGGCTCATCGATATAACTCATGAACTCTGACTCGTTCAAAGATTCATCGGACCCTCTTCTTTCGCGCCTCGAATAAACAACGCGGTATTTCTGATCGCGCGCCAAATTCATGAATTGCACTCGCCACCAATTTATTCATAAATCCAGCTCGACGGTGAATTGAAAATTAAAGGGATGACTTATTCCCGTATTTTCACGCTCGCGAGAAATCTGGAGATATTCCCCGGGTTATATCACGAGATAGGGAGAAATAATATATATAATATATTTTATATTATGGTATATATTTTTCTCAGACTTTCACTAACTCTCAGACTCAACTCCGACGACATATATCCCTTCTCTAACCCTCACCTCGTTGATGATGTATCCAACGATAACGACGACGGAAATTGAATTCTCTCACAAGTCATCCCGCTGTGAAACCTATATATATAAACCTATATATATGCAGTACCAATCAGGTACATCGTCTCGGGTTGTATGCACCCGAGAGAAATGAGCGTCGAACATCAGTCAAAACCGCATCGAGTGTCGATGAATAAATAAATAAATAAATTCTTGAAAAATCAGTCACGGCCCGCGGGAAGTGAAGAATCAAAGGGCAAATTACTGAAATTTATTCATGAAAATGATGATGAGCTTTCGTCTGTCGCTGTCCCGGGGAAAAGGTGAATCCAATGCTCGGATGTATATCGTGCACTCTTAATGCATTCGGGGGTTATCGGATACTTCGGATGTACTCGGGCGGTGCCGGTAGTCGCGCGCAACCACTCCGCGGCTAAAGTATAGACCTCACTATTTATTCGATATTTCACTTATCCACAACTAAAACCACCGAGTGGTACTTAAAAAATTATATCATCCCACAATAATTCAATTAAAAAATCACTCTGAGCGATATTTTTTAATATATTCCGCTATATCCCCCCGCTACGACCCAAAAGTCCGTGAAAGGCAAATGCATCTTCAAATTTGAAATTTTAGCCCAAAAAAAAAAACGTGAAATAGAGAGAAACGACGAGTCAAAATGGTTGTTCGTTGGCGTTGGTTGGCGTCAGTTCTGATTTTCCTCGGAATTTTCAATTTTCAATATTTATATTGATAGAAAATTATTTTTCGGAAAGTATGCGGAAAAAAAAAACAAAATGTATGAAAAACGCAAGTGGAGGGTCTGGAGCGCTGAGCGCGCGCGGTTATCCACGATTAATTACGAAAACGCACGAATCGACTCGTGGCCTCGGTAACACGGGGCAAGAGAGTCGCTCGTGGTGCGCTCGAGGGAACGGTCGAGAGACGGTTATCCTCCTCAACAATTATTCAATAATACCCCTCCACCCCCCCAGTTATCACCGAAAAAAAAAGACGTCGCGAATTAGTGAATGATCGAGTGAAGTGATTCAGTGAAACAATTATTTATCAATTGATAACGCCAGTGTTACACCGCGAGTGATGAAAAATCGCGTGTGCAAAATCGCTCCACATTCGGATGCATAAAGAAAAACGGAGAGAAATAAGAAGAACCTAGGGGTTGAAGCGGATTTGTAGGCGTGGTCTCAGGACGTTGGACACGTGACACTGAAAGTGTCACGCCGCCCTTGCCCACCCCCTACCCCCTCACCACACTCCCACCCCTCATTTGTATCCCCTCTCCTTTTTACCGCGATATACCTTTAACCGAAAACAACCGAAGTTGGGGACTCGTCGCTCTTCGGAATAGTCCGGCGACACTGGATTGTCCGGTGACTGTCATTAACCGTCTGATGACTGTTATATTACCGACGATTGGATATTTTGAGGTTAACAGTTGGGGAAAAAATGCAGCAGGCCAGTCTCGGTCAGAGTAATATTGATAATTATGAGAGAGATTTGGAGAAAAATATGGGTGATGTTGATGTGAAGAGGGAGCTGCAAGATGATGTGAGGATTAAACAGGAGATACCGGAGGATGAGTCACCAAAATCGAGCGATAATTATGAGAAAAATTATGAAGATAAGAATAAGGAGAATTATGAGCGATACGATGTGTACAGGGGACTAGTGGAAAATCTGGGGAGAATATCGGGACAATATCCGGTGATGCATCCGGCATATCGAGCCGTCGGCCCCGGTCAGGGCAATCCCTTCGGTTTTCCCCATTTTTACTCGCCCCAGATATCCCATGAAAAACGAGATAATGAAAGCAGTGAGGGCAATAGACTCGGTTATCATCGACAACCCACTCATTCAGGTGACTTCAACGAGGGTTTGATGAGGGACTATCATCCCTGTGATTACCAAAAATTAAGCTACGGAGTTCCACCGAATTTTCGTAATTCCGTCGAGTTGGCTTACTTCAATCAACAACAGGCGAGTCATAACTTCAGGATGAATTTTTATCAAGGCAGGCAGAGAAAATGGAGTAACTTCAACCTGAGGTCACTCCAGTCATCCGTGAGTTTGGATAAAGAAAGAAAAAGAACAATTGAGTGATGAAGAATTATGTTTATTTCAATGAAAATATATATATATATATTCAATACAAATCGTGGAATTCAGGTAGAATTACAGCGAATTACTTTCCGTTATTTTTTCTCATATTTCAAGAGGATAAAAAAAGTGCATTCCCAAGACGATTTCTTTGTCTCGTCGTCACAAAGATGAACAGTTTTGTTGAAATGATCGTAACATCGGGGTTCTACCCAATTGCCCCTCGGTTTCGTATTTTACAGTCGTCTGACTGTTCTCTTCTTTATATGTTATTGGCCTCTCTCAGGGTCTCTTACATATTCCGGAATTTGCAAAATTCTCTTACATCCACTTTGTCCGCATGGGAACGCGAGATATTCGTCCGCGAGTTGGGGGACCGTTACGTCGTTATGTGCGGACGAACGATTTTGTGTGCATTATTTGTTCTTGAAAAGTATTTCACTGAGAAATATTATCATACTGAATTTTCCACTCAGCAACATCCAATACTCACGTTAATATACTCTAAATAAATATCAATATATCAAATATATTGATTAATTATTGTTAATATATTTTTTAATACATCAATATTAACATTAATTAATATATCTGATATAAATATATATATCCTGATATCGCGTATATAGGACACATGGTAATTATGGAGTTATCGGAAGGTGCGTTTATCTGTTAGAATTTATAACCCCGCGGTATTTGTTAACAACTTTTAATCGCCACCTTCCGTCGTCATCTACCTCTATTCTCTCAATAGTGTACACCTGTATTTCCAGATAATGTGTCAGGGTATAAGGGCTGAGAACACTGTATCAACTGTTGCCAGACGAATAAGGCGATTGAATCGAGCGGCAATATCCCATTCAAGCTCGTTGGAACCCTTGATATTTTGCACACCCGCGACCATAAATAATTCGCTCTTGCATCCGTGATCCGCGGGGATAACTCAAATGCATCTCCTCCTCACGCTCCCCTCCGACCTCAACCCCTTTACCGCCCATCAAATCCCCTTTCTGGCTCCTATTTGGTAAAGCTTTGGGCCTCAGCATTCACCTGATGCAATCATTACTTGCATTCACACGTTCCATCATTTATACGGTTGTACTCTTTAGAAGAGAAGTGCAAGTCCAATGCACCCAACTCCTCACTTGTCCAGTAACAATGGTAAAAGGTTGTGTTACGCGTGTATTATTCTTATTCATGACTAGTCTCGTCGTGAGCGAGGCGTCCATCATTTTCTCGGGGAATAAATACAGTTGGTATTGTTGTGATACAATAATAATGGATGCGTATGAAAAATAAGCTTTTGCTTGGATGAGAATTAGCGTGGGTATATTGGATCGACAGTTTTTGAATTGAGGCGATTGTCTTCGGACTGTTAAGACTTTGACGTACATTAACGCGATTTATATATAACGCGTCGAATATAGAAATTTATTATAGATTGTCAGGAATATTGAATCGTTGATCTCATATTTATTCATCCCTTTTATTGAACCACTAGGCGAGGTGTCAAAACTGGAGAAATGAAAAAATAATGATTGGATAAAAAAATTTTTGGGTATAACCCAGAATCATGACACTTTTGTGCCATCGAATTATCGAAATAAATGAGAAAAATATGATGACGGAGCTAAACGAATCCATTTCTAACACAAAGGTAATATGTACGAGGACTTTTGCACGCCCCCCGGCATTCGGTGCCGCTCGCCAGATGCGTGCCCCACGTTTTTCTACCTGAGGGGCACCCAATAGGCGCAACACATGGTGTCTCGGGGGGCGCGATCAATTGGCTTGTTTTTCGTCCTCCACATTTTCGAGGATGTAGGGCATATGGGGGTTATGGGGTCTAGATTAATCCGTGTAAGCGGCACTGTCGCGGTGAAAAAAAAATTAATTTCCAATGGGCCCAATGGGCCATCGGTGGGGGAGGCGTGAGAAATTCGATAGATCGTCAATCTGTCCTGCCAACTAGATCAATTCCCTCCCTCCTATCAATTTGTATCATCAATATTTTTCGTTACGTCAGTCACTTTGAAATGGGTTTTGCGAAAACATCTGCAATTAATGCAACCGCGAATTACGGAGCAATAATGCGACATGTGGATGGCACTGGTTACCGCGTAATTTTTTTTTCTCTCTTCCTCTGCCTTCAAATGTCACGAGAATAGTATTTAAAGTTTTTTTCAACACTCGTGCGCATAGCTAGTGTCATAATGACTGCATGTGCACAACTCGCCTGGAAATTACAGTCGTATATGAATAACGATGACAGTGATATTATAATACCACGTCGAGCGTTATTTCCAGGAAAATTAAAGGTATTTGCACTCATTACACCAGCGATTGCTTTTTCTAATGATTTTTTCCAACTTCTCCCTGCAGTTCGTAAAACTGAATTTCCGGGTATTGCATTCTCAATTTTCTTCAAATATATTCCATTAACTTTTATGACAGTAGATTTCTCCAATCATACCGAGACCGTCCAAAACCATCGGACTTCCGGTTGTTGTGGTTTTCGAGTTCGGAATTCTCGAGTTGTCGTATTTCGACGCGTGCCCCAGGAAGGTCACTTTTTTTTTTCCTCCAATTGTTGATGAAAGGATGTCATCGTTTTTCGGTGAGAGGGGGAGAGGCCAATATGCCACGGGATGTAATAAATAACAATTGGGTACGCGTGCGCTAAAACCGCGAAAACCGCACGGTTATTACCGATTCCCTGATTATGGGATTCTTCAAGGCTTTCTCGGATATTTATCAAAATTGCTCAATGAACAATTGAGTCTGCCAAATATTTGAGATGACAAATGACTTCATGTCAATCAATTCTTGAATTTTCATAATTTTTTTTCAATTGAATTGCAATTTAAAAAAAATAATGAAACAGTAGCTTACGACTGTATGGATACGTAGAGAGACGAATGTAATGCTCTTCCATAAATATATGAGGCAGGTGATACAACGGTGGGGAATGTCTCTGTACATGTTACTCCGAGGTATCACATAAGTTGCAAGATGTTGTTCACTGTTTTATGGAGTCATCAATTACTTTAATATTCACGGTCGTAATATCGGTATACACACTCAGCCAGGGACAAGGGCCTAGTGTATGTAGAAATTGAGACGGTTCGTATTAAAGAAATGGTGGACGGAAATAGACTGGGAGTTATAAGGTGTCAGTGATCGTAAAGACCGACCCATCCAATGCTAAATGCTCCGATGCATTGTACTGCTTTGTACACCGTAATTGACTATAGCAACTTTACTAAGTCGGATTATAATAATGTTTACTGGCTGACTCCGATGAAAGTTGCTCTCGCCGTTCTTAATGGCCCCATAAACAATCACTCCATGACCAACTCACACCCAAATAATTTTTCATTTCATTATTATCACATAAATATCACAGATTTCCATCCGAAATCCACTAAATAGCCTGTCCCCATCAATATTTAATATCCTTCATATTTAATTCATCAAATGTATTGGAAACGCAAAATTTGTGATGTAGTGAGGAAAAAGAAAGCGTTCAATCAATCGTGAAACCGTTTTTCCCTCCCCTCGAAAATAATAATTCCTCATCAAATAACCATTAATCGTATCCAGCGACGGTGTTAATTCATGAAATTAATTACCAAGTAATCGAAGAGGGCAGTATACTCAGCTCTCATCAGCCTCGGTATCATTTACAAGAGAAGGAAACTATAAAATTCATTCTACCGCGTTTATATTGAAGCCCGTAATGACATTATCGTCGTTAGCGGTAAAGTAGTAATTAAGTCTGACGTCATAGCGGTGGAATATATAGGATATCGACAGAGCATCATCCCCATTCGATCCATTAGTCTCAGCATTAAAGACTGGTTCTCAGGACAGGTTATTTTTTTTTTTTACGGGTCTCAATGATAATGAGATATGCGGGTCGTTTACTGGAGGATCTAATCGAGATTGTATTGGTCAGCGCAGCGAGAGATAAAATAAATAGAAATCAATAAAAATAGATAAAATTGTAAAGTTGCTCTCACTTTATCTGCCCATGTGTCGGACGATCGGTTTAAGTATCGGGTATGGACAATTACATTAATTGAGCGTTAATTCATTTTTTATTGACGGAATTGTGGGGTCGGGGAGTTTTTTTTGTAGGCGATGATTTGAATTGCTAAATTTATGATATTCTCTGGCGATTTTTAGTATCAAATGCTTGGGTCGGGACTTCTCAAAGCAACACATATCCATTGACTGAACACGCCAGGGGCGCAACAGCTTGATACATCGTTACACGCTGTTTCCTGTATGCGAATTGCGTTGTAGGGGTGGGGGATACATATTTTTTTATTGATCCGGGGGAGATCATTAATTTTAGCGGTAATACCGTGATTTTTGACTGCGAGGTAATACGAAACTCCAATCATTTCTGCAAAATTCCAAAAAAAAAAAAACCAACTTCAGCCCCAGCAATTAGTAGAAATCCCATAATTACTTGGAATAATCCGTGAGCCTTCAAATTTCAATTCACAATTTCGGGAAAATTAATGGAGAATGAGAAAAATTACCGGGGGCATCCATTCAATTATTACACGCAAATTATGCATATACGTTGAGTCCATCACGGGAATGTTACATTATCGAATATCGGGCGTCGCGACGCCATTGTAAATCTCAGCACTAACGAGCTGTCGTCAGCAAAATATCTTCCAACCCTTTTGGCAGGGGGGTATACCACCCCCGCGGGATTTTCCATTCCAAGCCTGAGTGAATATGGGGGTGGGGGGGTAAATAACGATGGATAGGAATTTTTCCAACGGGAGATGTTTAATCGAATAATAAAAAATGCGGAATGTTTGGCTGCGGTATTATCCCACAACCCCGTATTCCTCGCAATTGAGATAATAAATCGGATGGAGGTGGGGGGGGACAAGCCAATTAAACCACCGAATGCGTCCTAATTAACTCCTCGATTACGTGGCTTCCCTGACGATTTCATGGCAAACAAAGAAAGGGCCAAATTATTAGGGGCTGGGAAATCGCGAATCGCGGGAGGGGGTTAAAAAGAGGGAGATGACGGGGGTGGGGAATTCCTTCCTGGGTATACATTATAATTGCGCATATTAAAATGGCGTCTCCCATCCTCGACATTTGCCGGATATCGTTGTGCTAGTTTAGGAGCCCAGCCATCTTTAATCAATAATGGAGCATCACAGGGACCATGACAACAGATACCCCTTTTCTCGTACGGGTTTTACCCATCTCGGTGGCAAACCCTCCGGCAAGGGTTCATACCGCCTTGCCACGGGATACTTTAACTTCCCATCTACATTATCGTCATCTCTTTCTAGGCCATTTTGGGGGATGAACTGTCTCGATTTATACCCTACCCCTGCGGAAATCCAGTCTTCAATCTCTGTACGCCATATTTTTTTTCATACCCACAAGTTTTATTTTTTATTAAAAAATGCTTTTTCGATTATACCACAATTTTGTATATTGCATTTTAAACTAAGTGGGTTTGAGGGAAAAATTATTTGAACGGTTTGGTAGTTAGTCGTGTAGGGTAATATCGAGGCCACGGCCTTGGCAAAGAGGAAACAGACGTTTCTGGGAATTCACGCTCAAAATGACGCATCCCCTTGCCCCCCTCTCTTATTCAGGAGACCATCGAATAAATTTTCTCACACTCTTTATTCCCAATAGATCGCATGATACGGAAATTTACCCACGGATCGATATCCCCACGCGGAAGCCACTGTTTTGGTACGAATATACCTGCGACACAAAAGAGACGAGATACAAAACAAGTCTGTCATTTGAGGTATAGCCTCGCGTGATCACGTAATATTTTCATTCCGAAAGTAACACTTGTGTAAACACCTTGCTCAATTGTAAGGGATCGGATAATATTGTAGTGTAGTGACCGGTGATGCCTATTTTTTCGCATCTACTCAGTTCATTTTTGTCTGAGAAGTGTGGGACCTCATTGCGGACACCTGATCCCTCTTTGTCAACGGTAATTACTGGCCAGAGGATGGCGATACGATGGCGTGTCGCACGCGTCAAATCGTCGAGGTGACGACGCGAGACGGCTGTCACGCTCATTGCGTGTAAGTAGTCGTTTTATTCTCGACAAAAAAAAAAAAAGATAACTCTTTCATCCAGTTTAGCTGCTCATGGTAACGTGAACAACAAAATTATGTCAACATCATTGCTGATGACATGTGATAATCTTAATTTTTAATTGGCGGGTAATTAATGGGAGGGGAAAGAAAAAAAGGCAATTTGTGTCGGGCTACGGGACGACATGATTGCGCACATGTCATTGCAATTATTTGCGGTACATTTTTTTTCCCCTTTTTTTTCGGAAGCGTACATTATCATTGCTCTGTGATTGCGCAATTTTAAGCATTTTGGGCATTTTAGGCATTTTTGTTTATCTTAAAAGCTGAAATTATCCCATCAAAAATGTAATTACTGGAGGCTAGTTGCGCACATGCATTGTTGCATTCTTTCGATATGAACTCCAAAAGCGATGCCAAAGCCCCCCCGGGGAATAACGCCGAGCCGTCACGTCATCCCCGTTGCCCAGTACGTGCTCTTTTTTTGGATGGTTATGTTATAGGAAAAAAAAAGAAAGCACGATGAAAAGAAGAGAACTGGGCAAAAAGGAAATCCACCCTCTAGCGAAATTTTAGCCATTTTTTTTGGCCCCCGGGGGCTTGATGAAAGCTGTTTATTGAAAAATAATGGGAAGCATCTAGACGTGTGCACCTACGCCCCTGTTAGAAATTTTTCCGATGAAATTTTGAGGCATTTCTTCATTAAAAAATATGAATTTCTCCTTTGAATAATTGCCGCTGGACAAACCGACGAATTAACAATTTTTCCATTCCGATACAATCATTTTTTTTTACTCGAAAAATTGCGGCTGTCATGGACGGGTGACATTGTCCAGAGCCAGACCACCAACAGTTTCTCATTCACAAGTGTCACTTGACACTATAAAAATCCCATCATCTTTTGATAAATCCCTTGACACGTGACGTTCAATGGAATTTTTCTGATTGATGTCACTGGGATTACAACTGGAATGGACTACGGGAGTCTCACCCGGACATGATAGCCCCATCAAAAGCTCTTTATGCTCGACTATTTTTTTTATCCCTCATGTTTCATGTCTCTTGAGTATGAAAGGGGCACGGGTCGCGGGGACCACACGCCTCGAGTGGTCATCCATCTTGAAGTGCGTTTATATTCAAAGGCTGTGACACTAATGCCTCAGCGGCTAAAAATTTTCTTCTCACATGATATTAATGCTCGTTGACACATTATCTCCCACTTGACCCACTAATTATTCCACTTTTCCACTGATTTCAGGTACCAACCTGGTTCGCACGACCGGAACTTCCAGTATCCCATTCATCATCAACACCCAGGACTCGTCTGGACCTCTCCAAAGCAGCGGAACCACCCCTGGACAACACCAAGATCCACGGACATACGCCCACCATCTGCACGGTGAGTCAAATAAAAACAATTATCCTAATTACGCGTGGGACCAAAAAAAAAAGTTTCAATTTCCAGAGACTTGGTAAATTAATTTTTCTACCGTTCAATTCCTAATAATTCATCAAGGAAATTGATTACCCCGAGTCACTAAAAATTGAAATTACTTTTTCTGTGTCAATTTGACCGATCCGAGTGAGAAATCCACCCGCTAATATCACGTCAGGGACGAGTAGGAGTTGTGAACAAGCTGCGAGCCTGTAATTTTATTTCTTTATCGAAGGGGACGGTCCAACTCCAGGGCTTTCCGTTTTACCTACGTAACCCCCGCAAATACCTAAAATTTTGTAGTCACGCTATGCCATTTACAACGCATATACTCCAGTACCGGGTTTTTTTTTTTCATTTAAAGCAGTCACTCAGAGGGTTAAGAGTTGGCAAGTGGTGGTGGGACGTGTAAATTTAAACGGAGTTGCAAACGCGTTAGATCATGGATAAACTTTGAGGGGCCAGGGGATGGTGGTGGTATTTTCGAGTGAAAAATGAAGGCCTTTAACTGCCTGCGACACGGCATTATTCAGTCTCTCCCATGATCGATATTCAATCAGCGTTTATGTCACTGAATTAATCCACATGCTATGAACAGTAGTGAGCAAGCGTCTTGGTGTTGATTTCACGGTATTCCACCCCCATTTCTCTCTCACCCACCCCATGTGGCACTTTGTTATTTTTATCCATCCTCTCTCTGCCACACTGTAACTCATAAATGGATTAACCCACGTGGCAGCAATGTACGAATGACGGCAGGTTAATAACTTGAAGGCTCGTACGTAGCAAAGAAACGTCTGAACCCCTTGACCCATGAAGTCGGTGGGCATCAACTATCCAGGTTTATATACGTGTCCGTGGCTCTTTTTATTTTCCCGTGGATGAAAAAAAATTTGCGAGAAAGAAAAAAAAAGGGTAAACTCGGTATGACCAGTAATGTTGGGTACAACAAACGCTTAGGCGGTAGTAAGTCGGCATTGGCCGTGGCAAAAGACTACGCGTACAGGTACGATGATCGCCCAGTGATCAACGACTAATGATGATGAACGTTGGATGTAACCGTGTGTTCACGTGACGAATCCCTCCAGCGTGAAAAGAGAGATTGTTTGAGGTTATAACGGTGATCTATACAGGTGAATAAACGAAGCAGGAAATCATTCAGACTCGTTTTGATGGTAGAACCACGCGCGGTCAATTGTATATTCTGAGTTGGGGTGGGTTAATTGTCCGAGTTACGGTTAAATATCTTTTTGGATATCGTCAATTGAATTAATGACCAGATGTGCGATGAATGGCGTTGGATAATACAGGGAGTTTCTCACTGTGAGATATTGTTGGGTGTCATGATCAATCTCGGACTTTGTCCCTTCGAGTAAGACAAGCTCACTCGTTATTAAACATTAACATCTCGGTGTAGATGGTTTTGGTTAATAATGGGAGTTGATGAGTCTGTGGTGAATAGTTAATGAGGTTTTGAGTCTTCAACAGGACTGTTCCTGTCCTATTTATCAAATAGTCACTCGATCCTTTCTGTTGATTTCTGATATTTTTAATCGGTCTTTGTTGGATGGAATTCTCGATTATGGTCAATGAGACGACCACCGGGATCGGGAGGAATGTGTAGCACGGCCACCAGATGCCAGTCAATGTGACAATCTCGTTCTGTTATTTTTAACTTCACAGATAATTTGAAGTTATTCTTTCGTGAGTGGTCATTTTCGGGGTGATCACCGTTGACCAGATGTCATGATTATGACATTCCCCTGGTATAATCCAGTTGTCTCGGTGTCATCAGCTTGCTCTGGACTCGATATCCACCAGTAAATCGACTCTCCTAAATCATCCAGTTGCGAAAGATGAATAACCAAACGATACAAAGTTGCAATAGAAAATTGATGAGCCCCAGTGATGCTCGCTTATGTGAAAGTAGATCGAAATCCGCAGTAAGAGTTATCTTCAACCCGTGAGAATCTAAACTTTGACGGCTGCCGGAAGAACAGCCCCGGGAATTACCGATAATTATTGTAAACAATTATCCACCTATTAATTATGAATTGATCGACGTCAGTTGTTGCTGAAGGTAGATTAATAACTTGGAGAAAGATATGACGAGGCGGTGGGAGGGGGAGGGAATGGCGAAAAGAGAATAAAAAAAAAATGAATGGACTTGGTCACGCGATGTGAATTGAATTTGTTGCAATGTATCTCGCGCGATCTGAGTAATAGCAGTGTTGAAATGTATTAGGAGACCATCAAGAAGTTTAGATTATGAGGATGAAGTGGGAGCGCTGAAAATTTTTATCACAGACGAGGCCAAAGGGGCCCTTCTTACAATATTACCCGGGGAAGGGCTCGAGTGAGAGACTAAATAAAAAAAAAACAACAACGCGCTATTCCGCAAGACGAAAACATCTGCGCCCTTAATTATTTTACGGATTTAGTAGATCGTTATAGCTTGTAAAATTACTGGCAATTTCACGCCCCTAAACTTATTTTATCCCCGCCAGCCTATCGGGCGAGAATCGTATGGGTTAAAACAGCAGAATGTGTTGGGTGATATGTCGGGGGCCACCTCGGTGAAGAGGATGAGAGCCTGGAATATACTTGCCAAAGGATATTGGGCATCATCATTCGTGCCAAATTAATGGCCACCTTGTTTACGACTGCATCGGCAAACCCACACGCAACTCCATTGCGACTGAATTTATCTTCAATTTGACATTCATTCAATTTGAATTTTCACGTACCACCGGAAAAATTCATCTGTCCACTCAATTTGTTATTTATTCAGTGGGTTTGAGATGATTTTTTTTTTTTTGCATTCCTTCAACAAGCCGTACCTACAACATCGTAACCGTTATCCGCTTTTGGTCCACTTTGCCATTATTAGTTCCACCTTTTTCTTCTGGCTCTCTCGTCTCACTACTGTAAGCGATATAACAAGAGGAGAGAGAGGAAGGGGGGCCCCCCCATGACCCAGGTAGCCGATGACTACCCGTTCGTTTCACGCCCGATTTCATTTTTCATCCTTTCCACTCTGTTGTTTGGCGCACACTCCTCATCATTTATCTCCTCTTCTTTATGATCATCATGCTCGGACTGAAACTATTTTTTTTATTTTCTCTTCAAATTGCTTTTTTCCAAGAGCACCAATTTTTTGTTTTGTTCTTCGCACTGCGAGAAAAAATCCCATTGAATAAATTGCGCAAAGGTCCAATCGAGTGTCGATCGAGTGTCAACCGAGTCGTGGCAGATCGGTATCCATTTGGATGATTTTTTTATCGTTAATATCGGCTGGTGCACTTGTTTTTTTCGTTGCATTGTTTGGCAAAATGACAGTGTCTTAATGATCGAACTATACGTACCCTGGGGACACACTGGCGACGACTACCGGATGCCGCGCAGTTGCACGAATCACTGTAATTTAATAAATTGCGATAGCTGCCGTCCTGGGGCAAATTGTAGCATAATCATTCATTAGTAGGTCGTGACTTGACGTTGGGATGCACTTGGGCTCGCGCTAGTCGCCCCGAACTCCGATCGTGATACCTTATACCCCTCCTCTCACCCTCCTCTCACCCTCTCTCCCCTCACTCGACACATCTACGAAAGTCGGTAACGAAGTGCAATCATAAGATCCTTTCTACTGGATCGAACACTATTTGCTCGCTATACCATCGATATTTTGTCTCGAATCCAACACTCGTATTGTTGCACTCGTTCATCTCGAGTTGCAACAATGATTTCAATTTGCAATCGAAGGAGCAATTGGCCGTTTAGTACCGGTGGATTATGAAATTTATCACTAATTCCTCGTTACCGATATCGAGGGTTCGATACAATTGCGAAGAAAAGTACGTGGCACTTTGTGGTGAAACGAGAGTATAAACGCATGATATAGTTGGTAATACGCGGCAGTACCTAGCATCGATTAAATCTCGATCGAATGCGCGGGGTTTGCAATTAGCTTCGCTAATTTATCCGCAATTAGCCAGTACGAGGTAATGAAGTTATCGCTCGGTTCGTGTCCCCGATTACACGGCATTTACATGAAATCGCGTGTATATCCCCGAGCACAAAGACGACAAGCGACGCGATATACAAGAGCACTTTCCCGATGTACATGGACTTCTCTTTGTGGCGGCCATTGCGACAAGTTAAGGATTCTATATCGAATAGACGAGACTGAAGCTCACAAGCTCAACAATTAAATTGAAAGGCATGAAAAATCGATGAGGTTATTTAAAAAAAAAAAATATGGCGCATTCCCAATTTGGTTTGGCAGGAGTTACAGTGTACCGAGCATTCACCATTGATTTTATCACTTTTCCATTGGAATGGCAATTGAATAACTCGAAGTATATCAGACAATCGTTCGATTTCCACCTGATTCTCAGCATGAATGGCCCCAAGCTAGAGCTCTCTTGTCAACACCAAATGAATCGGCGGATAGATCCAAAGTTCAGGCTGAAGCCATTCATCTCACCGAATTCAGATTCAGATATTGTCATGTACTCCACCTCCCTCTCGGAATATCGTCTGTTTAACTTTCCTCTTCGCTCTCGATACGGATTATTTTGATATTCTTTCATCCACTTCATTCTCAACACCGAAAATTTAAATGCCTCCGAGAGTAAACCCTCCACCGGGGATTTACCCTCCACATCTATCGAAATATTTACACTTCAGAAGCGAACTTTGAAATTGAATTTGCATCGGGAGTTGGAGGGAATCGATAACAGTTGTAATATCGAATAACTCACACCGTCAATGTCATTTTTACGGTTAACCAATGGCCATTGGATATTCACACGTTTCCCTTATCTGATTAGCTCACTCGAGTGCGAGTAATTGAGTCTTAAATGCGCGTTAACAATCTCAATGGTTTGCGAATAGCTGATAAATTTCCCCTTGAAATCGTTAATGCCCCCATAAATACTGGAAAAAAAAAGCCAGCATACCTG